TATATCAAAACGTCTACGTACATAACCGAACTTTTCTCGGAATCGTACTTTGTCGGCAACGGTTGATCACCGTTGCTTTCAGACATAAATAACTCTGTGTATCTCATCTTCTTCGGTAGTGCATTCGTCAGCAGTACCAGAAGGTTTTATTTATATATTATTACAATAGACGACGGATACGCGCCTACGTTCGAACAAATTTCGTCACTTCGATAGGCGTAAAAATAACGCGCGGACACGAAGAGAAGTCCAAAAGAACACAAATCGAATTCATTATGTTGACGTGCTATTCGTACATAACAGGACTGCTCTCTTGAACGTCATCTACCTGTAATAACACACCGGGGCGGAGGAGGGGGGGGAGGGCATTGCAACATATTATACGGACTAAAACACTCTCTAAATAATAATAAAAAAACATGCGAGTGTTATAGCATGCGGAATAATTTTGAATAATATGTGTATCGAAACGACCTCATCGCACAGGTGGTATTATATACGTATACGTGATGTGTAAAACTCGCTCCGAATATATATATATATATATATATATATATATAAAAAACAATCCCAGTGGACATCGTGTTATAACGTGCGACCGGAGAGATTTTTTTTTTCGCATACAATTTTATTATACCCATATAATGTAACAACCGCACAAGTCGTCCGAGCCAAGTGCGCGCACGAATCTAACGCGCAAATTTTCTTCGCGGAGAGCAAGCGCCGGCGAGACCGCTTTTTACTGTCTACGCCATCCGGAACATCCGTTTCGCGGACCGTCCGACTGACGCTAGTAAAAATAGATTGGCACGTCAAAACCGTCGTGTTTATTAAAAAAAAAATAATAATAATTAAATTGAATTTTCGACTACGTCCCGCACCAATAAAAAACTTTATTCATCTAGTTGGTGCATAAAGGAGGTCATATTTTGATTTACCCTTTAGTTTTCTTTAAAAAAAAAAAAGGAAAACCGTAAATATGTCTATAATTGTTTTCTGGGTAACTTATTGGCAGCAAACAGAATAAAATACCACTAATAATTCTCTTATTAGTAGTTTTATGGTTGCCTATAGTTATAAATTAAATTACTTTATCATCCCTTCCAACTTCCTTTCTAAAAATACTAAACAGAATAAACTCAGCTAAAAATAGTGCTTCTTCGGATTAAAAACGATATTAAAATCTAAACCAGTATCAATCGGGTTTAAATTAACTTTGTACGAAGTAATGACATGTCCGGTAGCGGTATACGCGTGTGAAACCTGGGCTACAACAAAAACAGACGAGTAGAACCGAGCGAGATTTGAGAGAAAGGTATGACGACAAATCGTTGCCCCCCCCCCAAAAAAAAAAAAGAAACCAAAACACGGGAGAATACTAGCGAAAAAAGACAAAATGGGTAATATAGGTACGATATTAGAGGACTCAGACTCAAACATAATGGCTACGATGAAAAGAAAAAAGGATAGGTTGGGCAAAACGTCTATGGCAAAGTCGAAAACAGACAATCGGTCGAGTCACCGGATTGGAGCCCAAGCGAAATGTGAGTCCGTATAAAGGCCTGGCCGTGCTGGGAATCCTGCGAACGGTGAAGAGACGGATGGGGGAAAGCGGCGGTTGCGGCAAAGGACCCGGCAACGGTCCACAGTAATGAGCGCGAGAAAAAAAACCGCCCTCGATCCGTTCGGACCGACCACGCCTGCCAGTCCTCGGGCCGAGCGTTCAGTCGCGGTGCACGTATGTAGTATAGGTCTGCGACGGTTTCACGGTTCTGTTGTACAGAGCAAACGTCGTAATAGAGCGGTCAGCTGGCGGCGTTGTCACCCGCGTACAGGGTGTTCGCGCGTGCCGTGCCACCGCGGCGGCGTACAAGTGCGGACGTACGGGAGACACGGACCGCGGCGGCGCGAACGCGCGGAGATTCACGCGGCGCGATTGCGCGAGCGGGAAAACGGCGAGCCGCGCGAGGAATCGGTCGGCCGATCGGCGCGGGGGGGAAAAAAAAAAAAAAAAAATAAACAAACGAATCCCGTTCGCGTGTCGTCCGGCCGTATTTTCCCGTCCGGCGGCCGCTCGGACAACGCGCGCGCGCGGCGTTCGCTGTCCGGTAGCCCGTCCGACACCGGCGAGTCGCGCGCGAACCGGAGATCGCAATCGCGAAACACGCGAAAACTTTGACCGCCGGCGTCCCCCGCCCGGAGCGGTCGGGGCCGACGGGCCGCAGTAATGTCCGCCGCGTCCGAGGACGCGCGGTACGCCGCGGCGACGTTTTTCTAAGGTTTTCGCCTTTTTTTTTTTTTTTTCTTGTTTCTTTTTTTCTTATCCGTACCTACAATGCATCGTTAATTAAGTACCGCGTACACACGCGGACACGTACTGTGCGTATACGTATACAGATATCTTGTAATATACGTAAACGAGCGTATGGTCGCTGGTGGTACTTCGACGCAACGATACGCGAATTTGAATACAAACGCGAAAAAAAAAACCGACTGGCTCCGCGCAGTGTTTCCTCTCGGCCCGCGTGAACGGTCACCGCTCGTTTTCCCCCGTCTGAAAACGAGATTCGTTCCCTTCGTAAACCTATTTATTTTTTCGTTCTCTCTCTCACTCTCTCTGTATGTGTATTAAATTATTATCATCACGCGTCGCTCGTGTATTAAATAGTCACCGCGGCGGCGGCGTATTTATTGTTTCGTTTATTTTTTTTTTTTTTTTTTTTTTATATCTCTTTAAACAAATTGAAAATCCCGAGTAAACTTGCGAGACTTTCTACGCGTTTACGCCATCGCTCCGTCGTCGTACGTATCGCCAAATGCGCATGACTTCAGTACGGCTATACACATCTCGTAGTACGGACGCGGGGTTTTTTTCGTGAACACGTTTCTCGGCCGGAATGCGTCCCATTATTTTTTCTATCAAACACTTTGTTTAGACAGTGTCATTTTTCGGTATTACAGAATTTCTCGTCTGTGTGAGGGACTGTGAAATATCGCAAGTGTGCTTCTTTTTTGGCCCCGTAATATCGTGAAAATCAAAACAAAACCCGAGAGAACATTTACGTAACACTCGCGTCTTTGCTGCCAAAAACGATTTTGATTTTTTTTTTTTTCTTTCTGTAATTCGGTAAGAAATAACAATCTCAACATTTTCCCCGGATTCGTTTGGTTATATTTTCCCGATATAACGGTATAATTCGTTTCCAAAGTATTTCGACTCTTTTTAGATTTTCATTGGAGCGATGAATGTATTGGTTTTACAATAATGTTTATTTTTTCTGTGGACATTTTTTCTATCAGCAGTTTTGCTCCGATTTACAATGAGTATATTTTCTGAAAGGAAATCGGACCGGGGAGGTAGCTTAAGCAGGCGATTTTCCGATTTTCTCAACATTTTTCCAATAAATGGGATAAACTGGAAAGAAACTAAGGAAAAACGGGAAAAACTACGGAAAACGGGAAATAGGTATACAATATTTAACAAATATTATTAAAGAAAATATACAATACATATTATGTCATTATTTTACCGTATTATGATATATATTGCGGACAATGCAACGCTATCAACCGAACCCCGCTAAGAATCGTTTTTTTTTCGTTAGCAATGGTTAATCGTATCGTACATATATCCATTAAATTTCTTCTCTAATACCTTCCCAACGTCACACCTATAAGAGTGCCTGCACCCATCTCCATTGTCCTATGACAGCTTCTTTAGTTATTTATATGTCTGTTTGGAATCATTAATTTTTTTTATTTATGTAAACGCTATTTTTTTCGACTCGGCAAGGAACTCAAAAATCGTTTTAAAATGTTTCTCGGATAGTTGTATTTTTTATATACTGGGAAATGAAAAAAAAAAAAAAAATGTCCGTAATATTATAATTTTTTTATTTTCATAAACGTGTTAGAAGAAAAAAAATGTCTCCGTCCGTACAGAATCGGTTTTCGTTTGTCACAATTTATCGTTACATTCAGCATGCCGAACTAATATAAATTACCCTACGTAATAATTCAACCTTCGCTCAATTTCTCACCTACGATCTTTTTTTTACATTTTACTGTTGCTTGGCAGTTTTTGGTGTTTTTTTTTTTTTTTGCAATATTAAAATAATATTACCTATTGCTGAATTATACGTTTTATCCAATAAGGTTTATGTAAATATTCAATATATTAGATAGGTACAACACGCGTAACATAATAACTCATACAATAAACACACCCAACTTTTTGACTCTACTAAGTATGTTAATAACATAATTGATGTATTTTTTTTTTTCATTCCGTTTTTTATTACGCAAACAGTAATAATAATAATAATGACGATTGTTAGCACCGGGTACGCGGCGAACGAGAGATTATAATATCAACGACCGAATAGAGAATATTACAAAAAAGTATCTCGAAGAAAAAATCGCAGTTCTCTACGTATGCATACGAATTTCATATGCATAATATTATACTGTAATAAATGATGAAAATATGTGTAATGCGTCGTATTTCGCAAATGACAATAATAACAACACGAATAAAATCGTAATACGTCGTAGTTTGACATAACTGTATGGGATTTACGTTTTGCGGTGAAACCGGCTTTTTCGTAATAAATACAGTAGGCGAACAATAAATAATAATGGCATTAGACGTGTGGTTTTATATTCCACGGGTACCGCACAAGAAAATATCAAAAACGTCCGGATCGAAACGGTCAGTTTTACACGCAACGTAATATTCGCTCGTACTCTTCGAACTATGAGAAGCCGTTCAATTACGTTGCGTAGATTGTTTTTCGTTGTATGAGTCACCGGCTTTCGAATTCGAAATTAGATTTCCCGAATGTCGAAGAGAAGCTACGGGGTGTTTTACTGGGGGGGTTTTTTTTTTCCAAACACTTTTGTTTTAGCCAGTAGCGCGTGTAAATGCTCCGAATTTCCGTCCGGTTGATCAGACCGTATCGAACAATCAGGCGGAATAACATTTATGGAACCGTCTTATCATGTCTGTACATGCATATGAAACCGGCAGAAGAGTTTATACTGCATTTAAACACTGGATATTCGGCGAGTATATACGAAACGGTGAATATCCCGCGGAATATACGAGTGCTTTAAGGACACCTTGTCAAATGATATTATTATACGGTTTTGTGAGCCGATGCATGGGCGATCCCTATTCCCGACTCTCCGACAACAACAACAACAACATTAACCGCGGTGTGACGGATATCCGTCTTTTTGATAACTGTTACGAAAATAGTATCGTCGTGTTATTAAATAGATTACCATACTTTTTGAATACAGTTGCGTTCCATATGGACAGGGGAAGGTCTCAAAAATACAGTATAAGTTCGTGCATGACAATAGTTAGCTCAACAAAGATCAGCGAGAGTATTTTGTTCGGCCGTACATCAAGCGAAAGTAATCTATCTGAAAATCAATAAATATCATTGTGTCGTATCGATAATTGCACACAGAACGAAATATTATCATATAGTAATTAACGCGCGTTTTTATTGGTTCTGCGCGCTCTGACAAAAGCAGCCAATTAGAGCGCTCCAAACAATTGTCTCAGTAGTCCTAGTATAACGCTGTTGGTTTATACGGCGACGACGAGAATTTACGCGCCTAACCGGCCGCACAAAGTTTACGCGTTTCATTACACACGGTGTACCTCGTATGAAAAACAACTATTATGTGCGATATAACAATCGATTATCGAAAATGAATCGGACGAAAGAGCAGCTATTGATTCGTATTTTTCGCGGTAATTTCGTTGAGGCGAGTGAATACACTAGGATCCGTTCGGTTTGTAGTTCAATCGCGTTCGGTTAAACTTCGGTTTGGCATGTCGGTTTAGTGTCTGCGGTGTTCGGTTTGAATATTAAAATCAATAACATGTTTTTATCAGACTAAATTACTTTTTATAAAAAAAAAAAAAAAATATTTAACGCCGTTCTGGCAACTTTCAAACTCGAGACCCGAACACCGCAGGCACACACCGCGAAAGCGCTCACTGCGCCCGTACGGTCCGACCATTTCCGTCCACCTCGGCGGTTCAGTTCAGCATGTGTCTTGACTAGCCCCGAATCGACTGGAGACAAACGCCGGAACACGTGTTTAGGCCTGACCGAACGGAAAGGAATTAAGATTAATGTGCGGAGTCAAAAAAGAAACTCCTGACGGGTCTCCGTCGCGTTCCAAATGCGACCGAACTGAACTGGTCGGATCAAACGTCCGTGCGGTATAATGCGAGCGAAAGGTCAAAAAGGTGCGAGGGATGTATTATTACTATACGAGTATAATTATAATATGTAATCCGACATTTTATAATCAGCGGTTTCGAAATCGATCTAAATGCAAATCTTATTATCTCTTGGGGGGTTTCCGAAATTGTATTACTTATACAATCGTACAACTTTATCGTCCATGTACTTAACTGTATAATATCGGGTAATTATCGGGAGTTTTTTTTTTTTTTTGTACGATTTTTTAATTTCATCTCCATTGCCCACTTTAAATAACGCGGTCAGTGTGCACGTTAATTAATGATAATATTATTGGTAACTACCGATTATAACACAGGTATTAATACATAGCGAAAAACGAAAAATTTAAATTATCGTCGGTTTAAACGATCCGCAGCACGAAACTCAGAATGTGGTTATTATCGGCCGGGCACGAAAATTATTTTCAATTCAGTGTACGTACGATCATAAATTTTAATAATAATAATGCGTTGCTCAACTTCGAGATATGAACACTCATACTAATACCAAAACTTGTCGATATTGTATTATGACGTGTTTATTAAAAACCCTTTAATTTAATTTTTAATACGCTCGTACAAGTATAATGCATGCGTGAATAACTAAGCCAGCGAATAAACGTACGTGAAATTGTATTTATTTACAACAAGTACTCAACAGGTTTTCGTCTACATAAGACACAGGGCATCATACACGTGAAATATATAAGTAATGAGTGTAGAAACGCGCGGGTATTTACATAATTTACACAACAGAATACACAGCGTATTGAATTAATCGAATACATTCCGTACAAGTGGTAACAAGCTGTAACGGTCATTATCATCACGGTTCTATGAATCGCTTTATATTTTAGGCCGTGAATTCACTGAAAAAAAAAATTATTAAATGTAAAACTAAGTAATATGCACTTAATAGGCTAAACGTAAATAACGTTATTAAATATTGGCGTTTTTAATGAAAAACAAATAACCCAACAATTGAAAGTACGTAAACTTCTATTGTTATAAGAGTACGCAAGTGTGCGACCTGGAACGTCCGCCCGAGATATTTTTTCGTAAACGCCTCTGCTACGCGAGAAAGCATAGCAGAGTCACAGCAGTCATCAAAAGTACCGAAATACAATGATTATGGTAGAAATTAAAAAATATCCGACATGTCCGAACAAAAATGTAATATGTTTTAAGATTTTGGCCATTGCGAAAAAAATTTATCCTAATAATAACCTCCACTTAAATATGTCACGACGCCGACACGAACGCACGATCCGGATAAGAAACGGATTAGCTGTTACGGCATCGTTGTTTTAGTGTATTATAATAAAGGCGCGCTTACTAAAAGTATTCGGCCGTTTTCAGCCGTTTTTCGTTTCGGGAGCTGTCCGTACATTTTCGGTTTACTTCTTGTAGCGATCCGTTTAAAGGGATTTTTTTTTTTTTTCTAGAGCTACGGCATCGTCGCGCGTAAAACTAAAATTATAAACGTCTGTTATCTCGGCAAATTCGTTATCATTATGCGCACTGTAACGACAACGTCGCACAACGTATCCGTAGAAAATACGTCTCCGGACGGCCACTGCTACATAGTAGGTACGCACATTATTTATGCTCGCTGATCGTGCGTTCGCCAACTACGGGTGAGCCGGTACATAATACGATTAATATTGTTCGCGCGTTTGTAAAATTCGAACCGTCCTTTTACGTGACTCGGACGTCGTGGACACCGCGTTTTAATCTATACAAATTCAATAATACTCGCGGGTAACGTTACACCCGCGGCACTGTATCATTTCGAAAACGATAACGGCAATAAACACAACATCGCGTTGATTGCCCGCGCGCTGCGCGATGAACAATATTATGTTTTAGACGTAATTTATTATGTGCATACTGCGGGGTTAAAAAAAAAGAAGAAGAGAAAAAAAACAGCCGTTGCGGTATACCCGTATAGCGGCAATTCACCTCGAGAGTGTGAAACACGATGTAATCTGAATCGTCGTCATGAAGGTTATGCGGACCAGACTCCCCTTATGGTAACTTTATACTGCTGCAGCGCTGCAGTCGTGCGCGTTAAACTTATTTATTTTTTTTTTTTTTTATTATTATTATTCAAATGAACAGCGCGCGTGTACGTGTATTATTTTAACGCGTTACGTAGATACGTACATAATACCTAAAATATGTATGTACGTATTCGTATTTTAGAAAAAGACGAACAACGAGTGCAAAATAATCTTCACCGCGAATACGAAGTATACACAAATCGTAGGCGGGTAGGTTCGGTGTGCATCGTGCGGCTTAAAAATTCGTGGACTTTCGGTGATATTCATCTCCCACTTGTTGAAATCTATCTCTCGTAATGATTATACTAATAACAGTATACGCAATCGACCCCCCTTGGATTTTTTTTTTTTTTTTTTTTGTTATCTAGCTGAATTATACGGCTGCCCATGGTCGTGACTGAGGGGACGAGGATCCCGTGGCGTATGTTTGAACGTAAAACAAAAAAAAAAAAAAAAAAAAAAAATTAATACGAGTGTGTACATGGTATCCATCTAAATCAAACAAATTTGAGACCCTCCCACGACATTCGTTTTCCGTACCGCGATACCAGTTTGCCCCTTCCTTAAATGAACTTCACATTATGCTACCGGTGCCATGCTACGTATATACATATTCAAGGTTTCGAAACGAAATATTATCATGAAAGCAATATTTATTTTATCGGTATTAATACTGATGTAAATCTCGAATAAAAGGTTAAGGATCACGTAGATAATGTTCACTGCGGGCATAGTTACGACAATTAAACGTAATATTATACACTGCGACAGACAATTCACTATTCAATACTCGGGTATACGATGTATATAGGTACCTATTAGGTATGCATAATCAAATTGAAAAACCTTCGGTTATTTTCATTAGGTCGGTTTAATGCATGTGCCACCTATATTATGTATCGTGTACGAGAAAAACAGTATCTACACATTGAATAATGAAAAAAAAAAAAAGACAACATAATATAAACACCGAAGAGGTATTAAACACTATAATCAAAATAATAAACGTAATTCGTCTATAATGTATTCGAACAGACCAAACGACTATATTAATGTTTCAGTTTTTTTTTTTTTTTTTCTATGTTAATATGTAAATATTATTACCTGTCGTATAGTAATTTGGCTATGGCGAGGAAACAAAGTCCGCTTCTGGGTTTTTCGGAAGCACGTTAAAAAATGAAACTGACTGTGTTGAAATTGAATTTCAGTATGTCTACGAAAAAAGAAAAAAATTGACCGCTCATATACACTTGCCACGCCCAGATGAATTTCCGCGGTCGTCCGTGTTACCCACCTTACAACTTCAATTCGTACCATGACAATTTGCAAGCATTTCCGTTTGTAGGTATGTCTATTGGCGGTCCCGAGCACGGGATATGTTTTAGCGTGGAATGCTAGAACAATTGTTATTAACGAATACCCGAAAATCCATACTCACGTTGTAACAATAGTGTTAACTGTGTGTCCGCGTACTGAGCGCGCTACCGTATCTTTTATATATTATAAGCGACGAGGCTTGTTGCACGGTCAACGTGTTTGTAAGACCGCCGCGGCTTTGCCAAGTTTACCTAACCTAACCTAACTGCACGCGCAGTCCCGTCCGAATGTCCCTTAAATATTATGTAGCGTTAATTGTACACGCGATTCCGTGTTTTCTCGATTGTCAGTTAGTGCATGTAGACCAGCATAAACGTACCGAGTAAAATATTACATCTCCAAAAAGTATTTTTGTAATCATTTTGTTAATTCGCAAATTTCGTATTATAACATCGTTAGGAATTCGATTGACCCGACTGCGCTACGTATACTTTATACACTCAATGATAACATTTGTTTTGAATTTGAATTCGAATAATACCGACTTGAAATATTAACATTATTTTTTTCTCGTGTTGTCTAGGGTCTGACGACTGAAAACTGTCTGTTATCTTTATCGCAGATATTACGTATACAGTCTCGCCGTATTCGTATTTCATCTAGCCGGCAAAAATGGGCGGTTGTCTTTTCCGAAACCGCTTTTGACATTGGCCCTACGGCATATTATCAAATGTGACGCCGACAACAAACGGTTTCGAGAATCTCGTCGAGAAACTCGTCGACCGAGTTCACCGCG